TCTATTGCTGCAATAAAATGCCATGACTAAAAAGCAAATTGGGGAGGAAAGGGTTTATTTGTATCACACTTCCACATTGCTGTTCATCATTGAAGGAAGTCAGGACAGGAACACAAACAGGGCCAGATCACGAAAGCAGGAGCTGATGCAGAAGCCATGGAGGGGAGCTGCTTACTGGCTTGCTTCCTCTACATTGTTCTGCCTGATTTCTTATAGAACCCAGACCAACAGTCCAGGGACGGCACCACCCACCATGGGCTGAGCCCTCCCCCACTGATGATCACTAAATGAGAAAACGCCTTACAGCTGCATCTTAAGACGGCATTTCCTCAGCTGAGGATCCTTCCTGTGATGACACTAGCTTGCTTCAAGTCGACACACACCAGTCAGTAGTATCATTACTGGTTTTCTGTTGTTGGCTTCCATTTGCATGTTTGCCACTTTCTTCTGTGCACTTCTGCTCTTCTCTCAAGTCCTTGAAAGAAAAACTGAGCTCTCTGATTTGAGGACAGCTATTTAGTTCTACTCATTCTACCTAAGTAATGAGTTAGCAGCATCAGAGGAAATTTGAAACACGTGGTTTTCATTCAAACAGTTGAAAACACTTGCCAGTTTTCTTTGCTGCTCCTTACTCATGGACTGTGAGAGGCGGGATGAGCAGAGGGCATTCACACAGATGTCTGGGTTCTCCGTGCAGTTCTTCCACAACACTGCTCCCTTCTGAAACTGATGACCCCCTGAACAGTTGGTTCTGTCTTGTCACCTCACATAATCTATTGGGTCTTTGTATGTCACCTTTCGCTTTGCTGCCATCTGGAAATCCTTCAATGAAGTCCTCTCAGATAATCACAGGTGTTTTCTTCTTAGTTTCTCAAAGCTTAGGGATCACTGTTCTCTGTTGCTGGATATCCATCATCATCATCATCATCATCATAAGTCTCTCTACTTAGCCCTGACTGTCTGCCCTGGTACTATGCAGACCAGGATGATCTCGAACTCGCAGATATTATCTTCCTGGTCTGCCTCCTGAATATAAGAATTAAAGGCATGTTCTACCATGCAGGACTTGAACTATTTTTTCCTTGTTTTGTATCTTTTGAAGAGTTGGTCCCTGCTGTGATGCTTTAGCTGGAAGGACCACGCACTGTTTGTGCCATTATAAACCACAGCGTTTACATGTTTGACTTGTTTTAAACCCTTCCCTTAAAGTGAGCTCTCTTTTTTTTCACTCTAAGCATTTGAACTTAAACCCATGGCAGCTGTTTCCTGTGACTTCTGAGTGCTCTGATTTTTTCCTTGCGGTTGCTTTAGCGACAAGTCATATAGAATCACTCTACCTGAGCAGGAGGGAGGAATTGTACACTTTCATTTGCTAATTAGTAAAAGGAGCAAGAAAAAGACATTTCATAGTTACAAGCAGGTAGAATAAGTGACAAACCCCTACAGTGGCAGAGGCCAGTTCTGCTAGAGAGGAGTTGCTGACACTCAACTCTCACAGGAGCCTTGGCTCCCACCTTACATAACTGGACATTTCAACACAACCCAGTGCACCAGGCTTTCTCAACCTGCCTCTCACTGACGGGATGAACAGGTTTAGCAGTGTTCAAAGGGATGATGTTTGATGTTTAGCAGAATCTCCCGAGTACCAGGCATGGAAACAAGAAACATGACAAAGGAAGTTGAGAGTCAGGTTAAGACGGAGAATGTCAAAGTGGAATTGAACCAAAGTGAACGAGGTAGTAGGATAACAATCTTTTCCATCTAGTCCCATCCTTTTGCCCTCTGGCCCTTCGCTTAAGTTAAAGAAGTCACAATGCTCCAATTTTCTTTACTAATGTATTAATATATTTGACATTTTTTTTGGTTTAGCTAAATAACTTAACAGTCTCCCTGGCCCAACAACTTCAAAATCCTTTGCTTCTTTAAGGTACAAGAAATTTTTAATCAAAGAATAGATCATTTAATTCAAGTGTGTAGTTTTCTACACATACAGACATTAATGTATAGCAATTTTATGCCATTTGCCTTAATTTTTAAAATGCAAAACCATGTGCTAAAAGAAATTTTTTAAAATCATGTAAAAAGTAGACATATTTTAGGTGACTACTTTCAACACTGTATTTTACATGTCCCTAATCATTTCATTAAAAATTACATAGTATAATGATAACAAAGAAAGCACAATTTAAGGGGCACTTAGTATATTTAAACAAAATTTTGTAAACATTTTTGTTGCGGGAGGTCCTTCCGCCCCTCCAACCAATAGCTTCTGTGATACCAGCCCATTGGGGCGTGGTCTCTCTCCCTTTAAAAAAGCGGCTATTTCCTCTGCTCGCTCTCTTCACTTCCTGCTCCGCCGGAGACTAGACTCCCTTCCTGGTTGTGCAGATGGCTGTTGTCTGGGACGGTGATCTGTAAGTTTTCCCCTTTAAATAAATAACACCCTATTAATCATAACTCCAAACTGGTGTGGCCTTGTTCGTGACTTACGCCTTCACATTTTAATAACTGGTTAAAAACACTGCAGAAGGCAAAGATTTTAAGTCTAACGCTTGAGTTTTATAAAACTTGACACTCACAGCTTTACAAAATATTTGCATGCTTATAATACAATGCCACCTTATTCTATCTGAGCACAAGAAAGTGACCATCATTATACCACAAGCAACTTCTCATCTAAATGAATATACTGTTATGGAGAAATGTGCAGGTTCAAACTCTGGGCTAGCTTTGATATGAGTGTAGAAGTTTTCACCTGTTAGCAGGTCACACCAGAAACCCTTGCCTATCAACTTCAGAAGAGCCTCCCCAGCAAAGGAGGCTTTGCACATACATTTACCGCAGCTATTATTTTATCACAGATAATGAATCTTTTAAATACTACTATACCAGAATTTGGGGCCATCTCAAATGCTCAGAGGGTACAGTCATGTGGAAAACTTGTTTTGTCTTTGATGAGCAGATTTTGAGTGATCATAAAAAAAAAATCACACACAAAAAAAAAATTAAAAAATAAAATAAAATAAAAAAAAATCACACACATGGTCATTATAAGAGTTGTGCCCTATCTATTCATCCATGGTATTTCTAACGACAGCATTAGAAGAGACCAGAAAACACTCACCTCGAGATTTTCAGGTCAAGGTTACAAGGAATGATTAAAAGTATGTGGTTATAGATGCTCTTGGTTATCTAGATGCTTTAGTAGATTGATAACTAAAATTAAGAATACTACCTTTTCCTCTAGTGATAGGCTCCAGTGCTCAGAATCCAGGCAAGTCTGATCTCTTTAAGATACACTAAATAAGAATGGTGACTTGATTTTTTTGAACCAAAGCTTACAACTAATTTTCTAGCAACTGGCTTAGAGCAGAATTTACTTTGACAGCAATAATGACCATTTACTTCACTCTTACTGTGGTCTTAATACTGAGGAAATCATTTGCCATATACTGCCTTAGCTAATAAACTGGAAAGTAATTTGCACACTTAAGTTACTAAGTAGCAGAGCCAAGGACCAAAATGGAGCTAACAAAGGAGCCAGGACGAAAACGGAGGTGACGAAAGACTCGGGCATCTACTCACTGCCCCCCAGGAGCACAGACTTATGTAATTCAGAAACTTTTGTCCTTTTTCTGGAAGGAAAGCAATGCTACTCACTAAGCTGCAACTTTGAAGAGACCCAAACAGATCAAGCATAAAGAGAGCTGTGATCTTCCCTACTTATTCCAGCCCTGTGCTGCCATGTAAGAGCTTTGTAATCATTATGAGAGAAAGTTGAAGGACAAGGCAAAAGGGCAATACCAGCACTCCTTTTCTAAGTATAGTGTGGTAAGAGTTAAAAGCTATACAATGCACAAGCCAGGCAGAACATGAGTAAATGTTACAGTAGCCTGTTTGTCTATCACATGGATATAGAATTAGCCCTAATGATCACAGGAACAGAAATGAAATGCTATCGCAAAGAAGCTAGTACCATCATCATTTCTAAAATACATGTTTGGTTGTAAGTAAACTCTGAGCTAACAGCAGATTTTCTCATTTCACCTTATACATTCAGATTAATCAATGAAACAGCCACATTCTCTTTGTAAGCTAATGCTCCTAGGACACAGTGAGAAAAAGAATAGTTCACACTCAATGTATCATCTATGTGCAATGTTTTCAGTTGAAATTTAAGTCAGTCTTGTCATGTATCAGTTTCTTTAACTCATGTTTTTATAAGTAAAATGAAAATGTAAAACACAAACTACTTTAAAATAAGGATTCTGTTTCAGAAAAAGGAGGTAGAAAGTTTTCTAAAACTGGTATTTACTTTATCAAACACTAGCCAACTCCTATAGTTATCCAACTATTCCTCATCAACTACATTTAGCAAAACCAGAAAGCCAGGCACAACTGGAAAATGTCCACCAGCACAGCTACTCGGGAAAATGAGGCAGAATCTATAAAGATCCATAATCAGGTGGATCCAGAACCTATGAAGATCCAGAATCAGGTGGATCCAGAACCGATGAAGATCCAAAATTAGTGGATCCAGAACTTGTGAAGATCCAGAATGAGGCAGATCCAGAACCTGTGAAAATCAAGAATGAGGCAGATCCAGAACCTATGAAGGTCCAGAATGAGGTGGATCCAGAACCTATGAAGATCCAGAATGAGGCAGATCTAGAATCTATGAGGTCAAGAGCAGTCAGGCAATAGAGGAAGACACTGCTTCAAAACAGCCAATGAACTGCACACAGGGCAGCGGGTCTGTGACTCCTGCTAGTCAATGGCTAAAGCAAAAGGACCACAAGTTCAAGGATTTCCTGAGCTATATACTGAGTTCAATGCCAATCGTGCCGCAAAATAAAAAGTAAAAAGATGGGTTGGGATATAGATCAGTGTTGGAGTGCCTGCTTAGTAACTGGAGGATGGCTGACAGTGACAATACTATGGCCTGTCACCTTCATAATACTCAAAAACATCAGGAAAATGAAGGAAGCTGTGGCGCTTACCTTGGTTAGGTGAATGACTCCTTTGGAAGTAACTGAACAACCCATGAAGCCAACATACTGGAGTTCAGGGCAGTGCTCGGCAAATGCCTTCACTGACTGGTCTGTCACCTAGGGGAAGATATGAGAAAGTTACCTGAGATGGTATCACAGTGAACTCATGTCTTTTTCACAGGGCTCGTTAATCTTTCCTTTTCCAACGGGTCACTTGAATCAGCACACAAACATGCTGCAATGTCACTTGTGTGACTAAGAATTACTTCCTTGGCCACACATCCCTTATACCCATGTTTTCATACTTCTTTATAGAAACAGAAGATACTGACAAAAGCTACTCTGTAAACAGAGACTGCAATTTCGTTTCCCAATCACCCAGACCCAAATAAACACACAGAAACTACATTAATTACAACATTGTTTGACCAACAGCTCAGGCATATTCCTAGCTAGCTGTTACATCTTAAATTAACCCATTTATATTAGTTTATATTTTACCACGAGGCTCATGATTTGTTATCTCACACCTTGCTTCTTGGGTGACTACATGGCATCTGCCTGACTCCACCTTCTTTCTCCTTGAATTCAGTTTAGTTTTCCTGCCTAGCTCCATAGGCCAAAGTAGTTTCTTTATTATCCAACGGTAATCAAATGTATTCAGAGCATACAGAGGGGAATTCCACATCACTACTCCACTTCCTGTCCTGTGTCTCTTCCTCTCTCTTCTCTTCACATTTTATGGACACTATTTACACGCTATAGAGCTTACCCTTTAAAGGTTCAGCTCAGTGATTAGTAATATATTTGTAAAGCTGGGCAGGATCATCAATACCTAATTCCACACAGTCATTCCTACTGTCCTCTCTCTGGATCACTGTCTTCCAGCTGGGAAACTTTCTCTCCAGCCTTCAAACTTAAGACTTTCACGACCATATGCTTTGCTTGGTCCCCAAAATGCCAACTATAGAGTTTGGAACTCCTCAATCGCAGAATCATGCAAGACTTTCTTGAAAGAAAAAGAGAAAATCTCCTAATGGTTTTATTTCCCTGGAGAACCTCAATGTAATGTATATTGAAATCTTCTGAGAACTCTTTTGCAAACTTACAACTGAACGGGATAGGACCCCAGGGTCTGTATTTTTAATAAGCCCCAAGTGACTCGCAAGTCATTCAAAATTCAGAAGTCCCAGTGATGCAAAGAACTTACAGTATTAATTCTGGATATTTCTAGCTAGATCTGCTTTAAAAATGAAAGGCAGAATAAAACTATTTCTTCCCAATCATACCTAAAACTTTTCTTCACAGACATAAATTATCTTTCTATAATTATGTGAAATTTTTAAGATTCAACCTATAAAAAAAGTCCAAACACATGGTTATTTTAGGTTCACTTTCTTCATCCAAAATAAAAACATTTTTGTTAGATTTCAGACATCAGTGATATCCACTGTTTCTACATTAGCTTTTAGTTTGGGTGACTCTTATTTGTATCTTCTTTATGTTCTACAGACAGCAGGAAACAGAAGTACGTGAATAGCATTAATTCTAAGACAATCACAGGGACATTTCCCTAAAGTAATGAAACCAACAGCATCCATGGCAAGCCTGATAAAAGATTAATTCTGCCTTCAAAAGTAAAGTATGCTTAAGCATATTAAGACTGAGGGTGCCATTGATAAATTAAAAATGGACTTGCCTTACACTCAGCTTTCTAAATACATTATGTTAACATGGAATACAAAAGGCACTAAAATCGCTGGAAGCATCAATGAAACACAATCTTTAATTAAAAACCTAAAAGAAAGGGAATGGGGTTAAGTACATGGTCAGTAAGTTAAATGCTCTGCTCAATCTCAGACTAGCATCAAGTCTTTTTTTGAGAAGGTTGGAAAGGAAGAGGAACTCAGATAAGGATAAAGAACACAAGAAAACTCAGGTCCCAAGATCCTCAGCTTTTAAAGAGAGATTAAGGAATATTCAAAGTCCTTGGTAGGCTTTTCTCTTTTAACTGAAGCCATTAGAATAAGACAGCTTGCAAGGAGCCTCTAACATCAACAGAGCCTGCAAAGGGGGAGCAGAGTGAAGCTCTCCAAGTACAGAAACACTCTGACTGGGTATGTTTGTTTTTAGAAGACTAATAAAATAACCTTCAAATGTCAGAGGTGATTGATTCTTCTCCTACAAACAGAAGATCAGTGTCTTAGGGTTTCTATTGTTCCAACAAAACACCATGACCGAAAAGCAACTTGGGGAGAAAAGGGTTTACTTGGCTTACACTTCCACATTGCTGTTCATGGCTGAAGAAAGTCAGGATAGGAACTCAAACAGGGCAGGGTTCTGGAGGCAGGAACTGACACAGAGGCCATGGAAGAGTGCAGCTTACTGGCTTGCTCAACCTACTTTCTTACAGAATCCAGGACCACCAGACCAGGGATGGAACCACCCACCAAGGATTAATCCCTCCGTCACTTATCACTAAATGGGAAAATACCTTACATCTGGATCACATGGAAGCATTTCCTCAGCTAAGGCTCCTTCCTCTCTGATGACTCTAGTTTGTGTCAAGTAGACACACAATAGAAACCCTAAGTAAGATAGTCAGTGAGACACCTGGGACAGAAGTTCTGACATAAACCCAAGTAGAGATTATAGGAAGGCAAGTATTAGTGGGTCTCAGCTTCTTTCTTGAGTCTAGGTGCCTCACTTTAAATCTCAAGTGAATGTCCCATCCCTTTGTGTGATTATTTAAAGTAATTTCTCTGTATTATGTCTATCTCTAATACAGAGAATAAAAATGGTACTCACTTCACAGAGTAAAATATGAAAGGGCAAAGACAGTGCAAGCAGAACACTTTGAACAGTGAGAAATCGTAATTTCTCAATAATGGTTAACTAGTATCATCACTCTTGATCATACTTCTGTATTGTGATTCACAACCAGAACTAAGGAGCTGATGGGTTGAAGAAAATAATAATTCAAAACCAGCAGAACTAAAGGATGCTTCTTTATTCCTCCATGCACTCTGGAGATCCCGGTCACTGCCTGGGAGTTCTAGATAACAAGTGGAACTGTGATTGAACAGTGACAGAAACAACTGTAAATCCATTGCTGTCACAGAAGACTCCAAGTGAACTCCTGGTTATCTCTGGCTAGAAACCCACGCTGTTTTACTTTAAAATAGTCCAAAGCTCAGGTTCTGGTTAAAAAGGTCCAATGGACCTTCAACAAAGTCTGGTTCTTCTGACAAGCTTTATTGTATCATCCTCATCTTGAAACATGCTCAGACTGCAGAACCTGGGTCCTACTAACTATGTACTCAATCCCAATAAGCACTTAGTCAAATCTTCAGGTGACTGCCAAGTACCTTACAGCTTAAGGAAAACTGCCCAAAGGATGAAGATTCTCTTTGGGGCTTAGAAGACACAAACCTAAATAGCTATATCCTAACCCAAATAATATGGTGGATTTTGAAATCACATATTGAGGTACATTTTCCCCATTTTAAAATTAAACTCAGCATGAAAACACTGAGAAACTTACTTACAATGTATCATTGTGCTGAATAAATGCACTTTGTTTTAAGTGATAAAGAAGTATAACTGAGTATGGTTCCTATCATTTTAACAATATAATACCATCATGCAACCAATCCCCTTTGCTCTTTTGTGACCACATCAGTCAAGCACTGTTCCACACTCAGACTCTGACAAGTACTGCAACACTTTCCTATCTTTATACCTTCACCTTATCTAGAAACCTTCCTATAACTATGAAACCACCATAAGTAGCCTTTTGTGTAATTCTTTCCCTTGTAAAATGTTTTGGAGACTTATCCATGTGTGCATATACATCTATATTTTGGCAGAACTGTTACTGCTGTACAGAATTCCAGTATATACAATACATCTGACCAGGTAATAAGTATGTGAAATCTTTCTAATTTAGGAGTTTGAATGGTGCTCCTTACATACAAGTCTTTGTATGGAACTATATTTTTAGTTCTTTTGAATAAATGTCTATGAGTAGAACTGATAAATGAAATCAGTATAAGTCTTTATCAGTTAAAGAATTAAATTGTCTTACTAAATTGAAGGAGATTTTACATATTTTAAATTCAGATCATTTCCTAAGCTATGCCTTGTCTTTTCATTTTCTTAATGTTGGTATCTCTAGTATCCAAGTTCATGATGTTCTCTGCATTAATATTTATGTCTAGTGTGCAGTAAGGATAAGGATTCACGTTTAATATAAGTATGTCCAATTCTCTCAGCATCTTTGTCAAAATCACTTTACATCACTAAGGAATTTTACGTTTCCAACTTGTGATTCATTTATTTGGAGAAGACAGACTATGGAAAATCAAAGTGGAGAGTGGGAATTAGTATACAAACACAAACACGACTCTGCATTGTGGAAGAATAAAGTCAGTCTGCAAATCAGATGCTGAGGTTTGAGTCAAAGCTATTGTGAAAACAAGGGGGAAGACGCCAGATTCAGCATGATTAACATAACATAGGTAGAACATGACTGGCCTCCTTTGCCGGACATGCTAATCAAACAAGCTAAATTTGAAAGGGACATGGGTTCATGCAGTCTCCATCAGGAAAGTCCTGCTGCTAAGAATGACTGCTGTGCCCTCTTCAGTGAAGAGGAACATGATAATAAACTTCTGCAAAGACATTGGCAGGGCTTCATTTCAGAATCCTACAGGGACTTTGTGATGTGGGATTCCCTCTGTATGCTGTGAATACCACTGGTTAACAAAGAAGCTGCTTTGGGCCTACTGCAGTGCAGAATGGGGCAAGGCAGGAATTCCAAGCAGATAGAGGAGGAGAGAATAGGTGGAGTCAGAGAAGCCGTGTAGCCACAGCACAAGACAGAGGCACTGGAACCTTGCCAGTAAACCACGAGGTTCATGGTAGAATATAAAATAACAGAAATGGATCCCACCCAGCTTGCATCCACAACCCTCCCCTCCTCCGTCTGACTCCCTCCCCTCTTTGACCACATAACATCTCCCAGCTCAGCCTGTTCGGGCGCTCGGACAGAATCCAAATCAGAGGGCAACAGGGAGGGTGGTAGCTCCTTTGTCTCAATAGCCTGCCTGCAGCAA